AAAGGTAGGAGAATAGCCCATAAATATATACTGAATTCGTAGAGAAGCGCTTACTTCACATCATTCCCAAATGACCGAGGCCAAAATGAACCAGCATTGTGGTAACCCTCTACTCTTCCGAAAGGTCCAATGGGTTCTTTAATGTGCACACAAGTCAAATGTATACACTGGACCTCCCGTTTCTAAGTCATTATCTGAGAAGACTTGGTTCTACCAACCGAACCCTGGACAAGGAGCGGCTTGAACCGGCGCCGATGTTAAGGCTGTAGTTAGTGGCGCTCCTCCCTTTACCGCTCAGTTACTCGACTAATATAATCATTCATTTACCTGCCATTCTGTAATTGCTAACGAACCAATTGATGAGATGAGCTCATTCCATCTTACATCAGGAGAAATTTGAACAGGCTCGGCCTCACCCTGCATAAGAATAACATTTCTATTAACATTAAAATGAAATGTGGTAGAGAAAATGAAACATTAAAGAAAGAATTGTTATAAATGTGTCTAGTAACCCCCTACATTTGTTGAAATTTCTAATTTTGCACTAGCATCCGAAACATCCAAATATCTTGAACAATTTCAAGATTTTGCTGTTTACGAAAGAAGATATATATATATACTCACTTCCTTCGGCATTGTTTCATTCGACTCGCGCCACAAATATTATACTTTATGTTCTCTTGCTAAAATTACTCAATCACCTGACCATCGCTTACACTAATTTCTGTCACCTTGACAATTGTCCTCCATCACGTTACGTAATTCTCGATATTCTGCTTTCCTGCACTTCCATGTTCCAACTTCTCGATTTCTCAATTCTTTTTTTCCCTTTGCTGTGTGCCTTTCATACGATCTCGCTCCCGCCACATCCTCTCCTTTCGACATCAAAATTGTTCTTTTTAAAAAGTACAAATCCTAATATTAAGCTATTGATTTTGGAATTTTGGTAGCTGTTTTCGCGAAAACCTACATGGCTGATATCCAATGAATTAAATATTCATTCACTATTAACGCTCAATATTTTAAAGAATTCATGTAGAATTTATAAATACCAACATCTCGATTTTAAATTCCTAGAAATGGTGGGTTTTGTCAGAACCGGTAACAAAGAGTTACAAACTTTACTTGATATAAAATCAGTTTTTCCCCCCTAACCTTTTGTTCATATGTCTTCCATTTAACCTCTCCTCCTCCAACCAGTTCTGAGTAGAATCGCACCTTCTTATCGTACCTCCTTCTAGAGACATTTTGAATTCCTCCAAAATATGCGATTGGATCACCATCAACCTCAGCCTTCCCAATTATGAAAGGGCCTAAGAAAAGAAAATTATAAAAAATTGTTAAAGGATACATGGGAATTATGCCCACATGAAAATTACCTTACTAATTGCATGATCAAACTGCAGGGGTCTTAAGTTGAACATTACATTACTTTCAGGAGATCTCGTTTAATGATGGAAGTATTTTTTAAAATATTTTACTGTATGTTGCTGCACGTAATAATACCTATGCAGATATGCGACCATTTTAAATTTGCAGGTTACAGTAGTTGTAGAAGATTTTAGTTTGCTTGTGAAACAATCTGGAGTGTGTGTAACAATTTTTAAGATATCCTTGCAACTCACGAGGGACTCAATACGAGGCTTAAGGAGTGAAAACAACACCTGGATCATAAAGCTACAGTTCTACTTGAAATAAAATTCTATCTATTAATATTATATGCCACATGTTTATTTGTAACCTGTACCTTACCTATGAAATGCCATGTACGTATGTATTCACTGAGTTTGCCTGATGATTTCACTGCCTGTTTGAGACATGTTGTAGCCTTTGTTTTATCTTTAGTTAAAGTATAAAGTGTCCCTAACTCAGACCTAGATGAAAACAATCAAATAACAAAAAAAATGTATGAAGGGTGAAATAGACAAAACTCTACCTAGAAATAAAATCAAGAAAAACTATAAAAACTATAAATATAATTTCAGTTGCTTCTTTTATATATTTACATAAGTCATCAACTTTCAATAAGTCACAGATCAAAACATTTTTTTCCAGTGAATTAGACATGAAACTAAAATTTGTAAATTAGCTGCCAGAAATCAGAGCGCATAGTGTAAACTACAGTTATTATGGTACAACACCTGTTACAGGGTGCAGTAGAAAAGTAAGGGTGGGTGATAATTAATAAGAGTGGATTTTAGGGATGGGAAAGTGGGTTAATAAGGGTGGGTAGAGGGCTATGAGATTAGCTGTAGACTGGGTGGAAAACTTCAAGGCTGGGTGGCTCCACCCATTTATGCCGACCATAACTACATCTCTGCTGTTAGAAAGGAGATTTAAAATACAGCAAGAAATCATTTATTTTTTAAAATTTATTTTGAATACTGTATGAATGTTCTTGCATTCTACAAAACTTCACTTACCACATCCAGCCATTATAAGGATCATCGTTCAGTGACTTGACAATACAAGTAAGAGCTTTTTGTGTCTATGAAATTAAGGTATCATTAAAAAGATAGTCAATTAAAAGTATAGTACCAATACAAAGTCAGGCAAAGACAAGTTTTAAAGTAGACTATTTGCAAAGTATCCTGCTAGCAAAAGAGTTTCTTTTCTACTAGAGGCATGCAAAAATTAGTCCTAATTTCCATAGCACCACAGGAATAACTTTTTTAACTGCAAGGTACAGAGTACAAATGAAAGTCTGTAAAAAAGGACTTTTTATATGAACAAATGAGGTCCAATTGGGGCATTTTCACTCTGGTGGGGTCCATGAGCATGTATGGTGAATTTCATCATAATTTTGAAGATATCTGATACAAAGAGGGGGTGTGGTTTTTTACTTATCAGAAAAGATTTTTTGTTTTTTGCCACCACCCCCCCCCCCTACAACTCCCAGGCTTCTTGCTCCCTCACAATTTGCTAATCCAGCCCATCATCTATGGTTATGATTGGTCACATAAGATTTAATTGACAGTCCAGAAACATTCACTGTCCAAGGGCAGAAACAAAAAAAATTACTAATAGTTAATAGGAAGGCTGAGTTGTTCTCAAATTCATTTTCATTTGTAAGCAATCATTTCCACCTGCAACTTTAACAAAATAGGTTTTAACATTTATTACAGTAGCAATATATAATTATGCTAAAAAGATGGAGGTATCGGCCTTACCTGCCGGGTTAATCGAAGTTTAATGATACTTTGTTCTTGTGTTGAATAACATTCTTCTAATTTCAATTTCTTGGTTTCTTTTTCCAAAAGTTGAAGAGATGCTTTCTGAAAAGATGGGGCGAATATAATAAAATTAGAATCAAGCAAAGCTACTATGCAAGTATTTTAAAGTTGAACGTTGCAATGCGTTGGAGTGGGTGGGATTCCAATAATCACTCAAATAAGTGGTGCATTGCAGGGCTATGACTCTACATTTGCGAGGTGATAACAGGGGTCCAAATCATGAGAAGTCAGGTCAGCCTCCTGCACTTCCATAACCTGCCCAGAAACTCATATGATATTTTCATGTTTTCAATTGTCTCATGGAAGTCACTGTCAGTGCTAATTGACGGGTATCACCATCATGGACAGCAAAATAATGTCATTAAAGTGTTAAGAAGAAATCTCATTTAACCATTCCCCTATTGCTGTGTGGGGGGGGGGGGTTGCTAACTAGCGACTTCTTCCAGTTTGGGTCTCGGAACCTTGTGTGACGAATTATTAGTAGGCCTAGGCCTCTGAAAATTGTATTTGTTGAGCCTGGTTGGGCCTAGCCTAGCCCTGGGTGTAATCCTAGCCCTAGCACTAAGTAGGCCTAGCCTAGGGTAGGCGCCTTTGTCAAAGCCTACCGCATACAGAAAAATGACAACCCAATTCACTTTATTATAACGGGTGCAGGTCAACTCGGCCACAAGTCAACTCGGTCACAGTCAACTTGGCCACAAGTCAACTCGGCCACAAGTCAACCCGGCCACAAGTCAACCCGGCCACAAGTCAACTCGGCCACAAGTCAACTCGGCCACAAAAAGTTCGGCTACAGCCAACTTGGCCACAAGTCAACTCGGCCACAAGT